GCTGCTTTGCAATGCCTGTGAGAAAAGGATTAGTTATTTCTTCAGTATCAGGCTGGCTTCAGTATTTAGTCTAGAATGATTTGTAAGCATCCTTTCTAAAAAACACTTTCTGTGCTTCATTACATCTTCTTATCTAACACTTCTTATTTTTTAAAACACACAAATTCATCAACCTACTCTTTAGAGAAAGACTTTGTTTCTACCAGAGTGGAATGTGTGGGAAACCTGGTAATGCAGTTAACAGTTACAAAAAACTTATCAGGGCACTTCTTGCATAGAAAAGCTTGAGTAAATTTCAGCTACCATGTCAGTCTGACTGATAGTTCAATTGTTTTAAAAATATTATCTGTGTTTCAAGGCAGCAACTCCTTGGTTATAGCTACATGGATATAAAACATAATACAATCTGTCTTATGTTTATAAATTTACCTACAAGGCTTTCTGTCATTATTTTCAGAACAGAACATAAAACAACTTACTTGCACATGACACTTGGTAATGTACCAAAAGGTACATTAAACAGCTAAACACAAAAGAAAAATAAAGCAAGACAAAGTTCGGCCTAGTATTAGTTTACATTTGAATTTGGATAAAGAATTTCAAATCACATTCCTGAAGTTCCCCAGCAATAAAACATACAATGGAAAAAACAATGTTTGCCACTCAAACTTTCAGCCTGTTTAAGAAAAGCTGAACAGATCAGCTGCTTTAAATTATTAGAAGAGCAATTGGGCCTAGAACTGCAAGTCTGAACACTCTGTTTCAGTATTAACACCAAGAAGGCAGTTTCAGAAACAGTTTAAGATTTTACATTTATGCCATTACCTAGCAGGATTTCACTAATAAAAGTGTGAGTTTGTCCCCTGAACCAGTAAGCTTTGGGGATGCTTGATTTACAGTGGTTGAACCAAGTCAATAAGCCTAAAAAACACCAAATCATTATGCATCAATAGCCTAAATTGAACAAGACAGCTCTTGAACATTAACAAGCAAACAGCCTACTTACCATTGAGTCAGCCCCAACATACAGGAGAGGACTGGTCTCCTATGGCTGAGGCAGCATTCAGGGATACAAATAACCACGTAACTACTCCACTGCCACAGATAAGATAGAGCTGACAGTTCTTCCCTCTGAAAACCCTCTAGTAAAAGCTAGATTAAGTTAGAGAGTAAGACAAGCACTTTGCTCTTTCCATTCTTTCAGAAGAATGCTCCTATGAGGGTAGGGTGAGATAGGGATGACTAAGTGTGGTTGTAAATAACTCATAGTTGACAAAGCTGCTGCTGCTTGCAGTCAGACTTTTAGGTCAGATAGTTGTTCACCTGGCTATTAAGTTTCTTAGGTGGGTGAAAGCCTAGCCCCAAAAGTAACAGAGAAATACTATGTTGAACCCAACTGCCTTCTAAACAAGGCAAAATACTTAAAATACTCCATAAGTAACACAGGGCTAGTTCATGGTTTGGGGTTTTTTTATCTATGTTTTCCTTTTAAGATCACATAACTAAGTACTTCATATATTAAAATGGGACTTTCCTAAGTATTTCATAAAGCAACAGCAACATAACCTTAGATAAAGGCTGTTCCTTCCTGCCTCTAGCATATCTTAGAAAGCACTTGTCAGTACACTAACACCAACCCTCAGTACATCCTCAGAGTTCAGAAAACTGTATTCCTATTTCTGGCAGGCTTAGCCTGTTTGAAAAGAAATTTCACCTCAGGCCAAGGCTCTAGGAGCCCTTATAAAGAACTTGCACATGAGCAAGTATGGGCATTCTACAAAAGTTCTGTTAAGAGTTTTCTGGTTCCCAAGCATTATCACTCCTTTGTAACAGAACTAGTGTTCCAACAGATCATAAACACATTTAATGCAGCCCATGTTTCTTCAACTGCAGGTTGAAATAAACTGATAAATTCTGATGCTTCCAGCAGCATTCACCACCACCAATGAATACACAGCTGTTAAGGAGACAAAGAACAATGATGATGCTGTACACAGAAACAGCAACTGTTTGTGGTCTTACAAATACCAGATGACAAGTGAACACTGGTTGATTCTTCAAACTAGGATTACTAATGTATGGAAAAGGCAAGAGCATCAGATACAGCTGTTTCCCTTTCCTTCATCTAGGATGATGCATCTGGGATCTTGCAGAGCAAAAAGATCAATCCAGGAAAGAGCATACTCTTCCCCTGCATCCCTTAATATCTGCTATTGCCAACCAGGTTGAGAGTTCTAAGGAAACACTACACCACCCTTGATAAATGGGTGGTGTATGGGTGATGACTGGTTTATGGAATCAGGTGACCAGGTCAAATTCAGAGATCTGCCCCAGAAGTTGCGTGTTACCTCACAACCCTTCCTGTGGGGGAAACAGGTGCATGGACTAAAGGAAACTTTACAGGTTTAGTTGTTATTCTCTGTCTCTTTCAGTAACTTGTTCAGAGCCATGCCTTATCTGCCAAGCTCCTCCTGTTCCTTTGCTCACCAGCCTGTTTCCTTTCAGATGGAAAAATCATTACTACTCCTGGTCAGGCAAAGCAAGCCACAGTTCTGGAGTTATCCAAGAGCATTTCAGATGTCACAGTAAAGTCAAAGTCAAGAGAAAGCTGCAATAACAGTAATAATTCAGAATCTGTGGGGACAAGCTGATGTTAGCTGCAAGGATGCATGCATGATCAGGAATTGCAGGGGCCCCAGCTAGCACCTGTCTGCAGCTAAGTCCATCTGCACCAAAACAGCTCTGATGTCCTGCAGGTTAATAATAATAATGCACCACACCTAGATTGTTTTGGCTACTGCCCAGCTAGGTACTACTCAGTTCTACCAGTCACTCCCTTCAGTCATCTCTCCCCTTCTGAGGCAGCTTCCTCACTTTCCATCCAGAAAGGCTGAACAAGTCACTCCTGATTTTCCAGGAAGTAATTTAGATGAAGTGGTTACTGTCTTGTTCTGGAGCTACACTGCCATCCCTGACAAGGAAACTGCTCCAAAGAGACATTTCAGAACTTCATGTCCAAGGTCAGGTAACACCACACTGCAGCCACTTGGCACGAGCAGCACTTGTCATTAACACTTTCCCATGGGATTTCAGAAAATCAAATATAGCTTGGGATCCCAGCTGCTGATAGGAAACCTGTATGCAACCTTGATTAGCCCGTGATTTAACAGCTTGTGTTTTAGTACAATTATACAAAGATCAATTGCAATAGTGGCCATTAAGCACACAAACACCATCTAGTGCATTAGGACATTCATAAGAAAATAAAATAGTAATGGATAGCTGGCAGAAATCTTGTACCATGGACTGTTCAGAGTGAAAGATACAAGCTGAACACTTCAAGTTCATTGTGAATACATATGTAGTGGCAAGACTGAGCTGAAGTGCCACTCCAGTCCACTGACTGCTTTGAAACAGAAAGAAACATGACATAGGGCACTTTGGATTACAAACATCACAACTGAAAGCACAAAACCATTATACCAGCAGTACACTTGAGCGAGAGAACAGTTTACCTTTACAATGCTTCTCTCCAGCAAGCATCTAACACTAAATAGGCTCAGTCTAACTGAAGGACCAGCTTCTCTTTGAAAGATATCAAGGGTCCTCTTTGTGAAGTGTCAGACTGTAAATAAGAGTTAATGGCAAAGATTCCAAATAAAACCAGATTCTGCCTTCTTACAGTACGCAACTGAGACTTGCATGATTAGAGTAACTTTGTAATGTTTACTTCGAGGGACCACAAAGCCTCTTCCCCTAAATATTTGGGGAACTTATTTCAAGTTCCTATAGGTCAGTATCCTCTTGAAAAGGAAAGCATTCTGTCATTTCTTTACCAGCCTAGGACACACCTCATTGCTCCAAGATGGTATCTCCTCCAAAAAACATTACAGAAAGGTGCATTGGTTAGCTGTGAAGTATCATTACTTACTCACCTGAAGATCACGAGTCACTACTAACAATCACCTTCTCCAGTGCTAATAGAAGAATGAATACCTTATGTTCAAGTTCTTAAAAAGTTTTTTTCAAAGAGTATATGAGAACAGCACATACACAAGATGACAAACTCCTATGTTTAAAAAGAGCTAATCATAAAACTTGACCTAGAAAGTATGTTTTCAACGTAGGTAGAGAGGGAAAGAAAGCCAAGGCTTACAAGACACTCCTTGTTTCTCCAGAGGAATGTGGAGTATCCCGCTCCTATCTTGCGCTACAGCATAACAAAACATGACTGAGAGGAGTGAATGTTTTACCATATTTTTACCTAAAGCCCTCAAGAAGTCCAACATACTCTAGTCCTCGATTTTAAGGATATATGTAGTCTTACTACTGGCACATAAATAAACAGCAGCTCTCAGTCCGCATGGATCATTACTTCCAAGAAGCCGTCAACCTAGCCTAAGTTACACCCCAAGCAAAGCGAACCAGACACCGACGACATCTGCAAGCCTCTGCCGAGCATGTGACTGCGTGGCCACTCACATGCACTGGGCATTGCATAACCAGGGCACGCCACGGGAGCATCCCGGGGCTGCCGCTGCCGCCTGCGACCGCAGGGGACGGGGACCGGGCAGAGGCTGAAGTTCGCGGGTGCTTACCGGCGGGCCTGCTGAGCCACCGGCTGACAGCCCCGTCCCACGGGGACCAGGGGCACAGGAGAAGTTGGGCGAGCCCCACCGGGGACGAGGAGGGGACACCCCGGTACCTCTCTTCAGCTTCGCGCCGCCCCGAGCCCAGGGGCCTAACCCGGACCCCGCCGCCTTGATCCAGCCCCGCCGCCTGGGACACCCCCGGTCGCGGGATGCGCAGGGGACACCGCGGCTCCCCCCGCCCCAAGCAACACCGGCGGGATCCCGCTGCCCACCCGCCGCTCCCTCTCCTCGCCACCACGCCGGGAGGCCCGGCATTCCCCCCACGGACTCACCTGCACGGGCGACAGAAGCAGGAGGAGAACGAGGAACCCGAGGCCGCCTCCCCCGGGGCTGCCTTGAGGGGTCCCCATGGCGGCGCGGGCTGGAGCGCGGATGACCGGCAGGCGCTGTGGGCAGCAGCACGGAGCAGCAGCGAATGGAAACAGGAGGAAGGCGGCGAGGCAGCCGCGCCAGCGCAGTCTAGAAGGGCCGCTCTCGCCTACCTGGGCGGAGCCGCCAGCCCCTTCGAGGAGAGGCCGATGGCCGCCCCAGCGCCGCCGCCAACCGCGACCGCCGGCCCACCCCCCGGCACCGCCTCACCCTGCACGGCCAAAACAGGAACACCCTCCTCGATACCACCTCCCTCGTCACCGCCTGCCCAGAAACACCGCCTCCGGCACCGCCTTCCCCCTCACGGCCTGCCCAGAAACACCGCCCCGGCACCGCCTCCCCAGCACGGCCTGTCCCGGCGGCGGCGGGCGGGGCTCCCGTCACGCCACGGCCGCTCCGCGCCGCCAGGGTGCGGGGGCCGATGCTCTGTGGGGCCCCGGTGGGAAGCTCGTCCCGGTGCGGGAACGGAGCCGTGCTCCTCCGGGAGGGACCATCCCGTCCAAGCTGCACTGGCAGCCGGGTAGCGGCATCGTCCCCGCGCGGGAGTGTTAATCGCGTAGTTTGTAAATACCAAAAGTCTCCTTAAAAACCTTTGGATTTGGGAAAGCGCCTTAATTGGGCTTCAAAGCCACTGCTTGGTTATTTCTGAGGACTCGTCGGGCAGCCCTGCGTGCCGTGAGGGTGCAATCAGATACAATGATCGGGGGGTCTGGGCTGCCCGGCCAAGGGCCGCTGTCCCGGGGCTGTGCCCGCTGCCCGTTCCGCTCCCGGCTGGAGCTGACCGCTGTCGCAATCAGCAGTTCTGGGAGTGCTGGCTGCGCTCTGCCAGAGCTATCTGCCTGTTTGGGCTCTGTTACCTTGGGCTCTGCTTGTTTGGACTCTGTTTGGGAGCATTTCGGGACCTGTCTGGGAGGAGGCACAATAAAAGCAGGGTGTGAGGCATTCGTGCATGCAGTCTCTAATTTCCCCACCTCTTTATTGCCTTCCTCGACAGGTAACTCGCATTGCCGTGCTGGAATAAAACATGTAATTTAGCTGATGTTGCCATCTGCTGACGGGAACGCAGACTCGTCTGGGTGTCAGAGCCAGACTGACTCGGGCTGGCGTGTTGGCCGGCAGCCTCCCCAGGGTCACGGTAATCCGACTTTCCGCTCAGGGTAGAACCCGGTTAGACAGGGAATTGTCCGGCTATTAATAGCTTCAGAGATGGAGATTTCACAGCTTCTTTGGACAGACTCTTCCACTGAGTGACGACATTTGGAGTAAAATGCTTTCCTGTATCTAAAGAGATTTTCGATCTGTAGGCTATTGCCTCTTGTGCTGTCATGGTGCCTGACTGAGAAGAGTGTGACTCCTCCTTCTCCCCATCTTCCCGTTTGGTAGCTGCAGTGATTAGTAAAATGTTCCTACAGCCAGTACAGCCAGCTTTCTGCTTCGGGCTGAGCAAACGCAGCTCACAGCTCCAGCAGCCCCGGCTGTTGGGGTGGCAGTAAAATAGATTTTGCTACAGTATGTCAGTATCTTTTTTTTTTTTTTTTTTTTTTTGTCTGTTTGTTTCCTTTTTTCCTTCCCTTTTTTTTTTTTTTTTTTTTCCGCGAGGGGGCATGTGTTTGGTTTTTGGGGTTTTTTTCTTGTTTGTTCTGGGGAGCCTAAACCTGGACACAGCACTTCAACTGCGTCTGACATGTCCCGAAGAGAGAAAGAAACATGTCCCGAAGAGAGAAAGAACCCTAACCCTTGACCTACTGACCATCCTCTTGCTGATGATGCAGCTTGCTGACTCATGTTCAGCATTTCGCCCAGCCACCCTGTTCTTTTCTTCCAAACTGTTTTCCATCTAGCCACTGCCCAGCTTGTACTTTTCTGTGGGATTACTCCACCCTAAATGCAAGACTTGGCATTTGGCAAGTGCCAAACAAAGCTAGAGTACTTAAAGTTATATTGTGTTTTAATTTTCATGTCATAAATAATAAATTTATTCAGGACTATGCAGTATGATTCTAGAAGCAGGAAAACTAGTTCCAGGCATTCCACTTAAGCACAGAATTCAGTGGGCATAGCTTGCATAGGTAAAAAAATGCAAGAACCTTGTTTCAATGCTTGTGAAAAAAATGTGAAGGATAGCAAAACTGACTGAACAGAAATGATATTTTCTTTCTGTATAAATTACACAGTGAATAAGTGATTTAAGAATGAGAGCTGAGAGAGAACCAATGTAGAGTGTTGTGGAACAAGCAAGAGAAAAGCTACTGCAAGGACAACTTTCACCATAAAATAATTAACATCACCCTTGTCTACCAGCTGCAGCACAAAGAGAGAGAAGGGGTAGTATTTTAATATTTATTGAATTCTCTCACAAGTATCTCTAGTTGGCTGACTAAATTCATACTGTTACTCCAGTGCAATCTCTCAGAGTGCTGCCTTTTTGAAGTGATGTAGGCATGAAGACCAATTAACAAACACTGAAATCTTGTGCAATGGCAGATGCTGGAACTCAGACAAGTGTCTGTTTTTATGTGGCCTCGATACCCTGGCAGCCAGGTGAACAGAGCAGGGTATGCCTTCAGTCCTTCTGCAGCCATTGGTCTTGGTCACAGCTCTGTGCCAGATTTGGGGGATGGGGATGCAGAGCTATACCTGGCAGCTCATGGGCACTTAAGCACAATTGCATGAGTGTTAGCAATGACAAAGCTGGCACCATGACTGTGTCACCTTAAGGTTATCTCATTCTTTGTGGGCAGGGAAAAAGTAGCCTGGAATAGTTAACCCAGTTAACCCAACATGCTGACAACAGCTCATTGCCTTGTCTGTGATACACACGGCCCAAAAGAGAACAATCTCATTCCTTCCTGCTTCTTCAGAAGGACGTTTATCAAGTTATGTTTTATAAGGTTCTCTTTTAAACCCAGAATTATACATAACTGTTATGGACTTGGAAGGTTTATGGGAAACACTTATTCTGGTTCTCAGCAGTGTATACAAAACAAAATGTTCCTGCCTGGAAGAAGAACCTGCTACTAATTCATTGAACAAGTCCTTTAATTGTCCATTAGGGTCAAATCTGCCCCTTCCCTCACTGGATACCCTGAATGGTGTAAAGTTGCCTGGAAAGCTCATATGAAATCACTTCATTGTGTTTTGTGTCTTTGATGGAAAGCCAGGACTGTTGTCTGCAGAGGTATGGGCTTTACTGTGTACCCATCCCTTTATTCAATGCAGAAATGTAACCTGTGTTACCACTTCCAGTAGAAACTGAACACCTAGTGGTAATGACCTTGCAATTTCTATATGGCAATCTGTCGAGTTACTTGTGCCTACCAATGGAAACACAGTACATGACTGTTTTGCAGCAAAATCAATTAAAATGTCTATTGCTGTTTATTCTCCATGATTTATAATGAGCCTTTATTGTTTCTATTGCAATACCACTCAGAGGCACTTGCAAGGACTGGGAGCTATGGTAAGCAACACCCTGCACAAGCACATGGGAAAGTGGGATGTTTTCCTTGGGGATGTCTTGCAATCTGTGTGCAGACAAGCTGCAACAGGTGAGTGAGAAGTTTCACCCAGTTTCTCATATGTCTGGTTTTCATAGACTCAGACAAAACCACTATAGCCTGTTCCAAAACTGTTTCTCCAGCTAAACCAGAATAATGCTAGTACCAAACAAACCTGATGTTTCCTATTTGGTGTTATAAACTATTTGTATTCTTTTGATCAGCTCTCATTTGTTTGCCTCCCCCAGCTGTGGAGGCCTGCTCGGCTTTTAATTATACACAACTCAATGTACCTGTCATTTTGGTCAGATGCTCTTGGCTTCAGATTAACCATGTGGCATAAATTCAGAGTGAGGGGGCTGAGAGCAATGTCTGATGCTGCCAGTACTCACTTAAATATGCAAGTAGTGTGTCAGGTGATGCTTAATCAAGTCTCTTTATCATCTTTTCATCTTTTTATCTGCGCTAGTGTATTTTGCTCCACTAACTTGTGCCAGTGTGTCCTTATTTAACCTTCAACAGTTCTGAAATCACATCCTTTCTGCATTTATCATTGAAGTAATTGAAACTTGTTAATTTTTATTACATATAGGTAAAGTTATTTATTGCATTCTAGCAAAAGCTTGGGACTTGAATTGAATAAACTCAATGTCTGTTCCAGCTTTGCTACAAACTTGCTGGATGAAGTGGGCAGGTCCCAATCTAGCCAGTGCGATTTCCTCTTCTATAAAGAGGTGCCAATTGCATGACAATATGTGATCCAAGAGCTCCAAAACCAGGTATGAACCACTGAGCTGTTGAAGAAAAACACTGTAGAAGTGCAGCTTATTATTGCAGTGGAGTCAGCAGACACTGTGCACTTACTGCTGTGAGCAAATATGTGCAGTGTATCTTCATGCAAGACACTGTGCATAAGCACTGAAATGCTGACAAATTCAAAGTTTGACCAACTAACAGCTGTGTATGGTTTGCATGACCATCAGTTTACTGAGCCCTTATAGCACCATGCTGCCACGTGGTGACAATTTGCTGTCCAATGGAGAATATGGGCAGAACTGTCGCAGAGGAGTGCCTGAGGGCACTACCAAAATCTGATTTGTCAGGAAGAACAGGAGATGGGTTTCTAAACTACAATTCACCTGAGGAACAGACTGATTTGGATTCAAAGACTTTTTGTCAGTTTTATATCAGTTTGTCCCAGTGAGTAGGGCCCGATGCAGTAGCATGGCCAAGGCACCACCTGCAGAAACTGTTCTCGGAGTCTTCGGAAAGCAGAATAATTCTTCTGCCTCTTATGCAATATATTCCAGGCAAGCACATCATGAGGTCATGATGACACTTTTCCAAGGTATTATGAGAGCCTATATCCATATGCTGGATGCATGCATACATGTGCTTGTATATACCACACAAGAACATATCTGTGCAAGCTATATAAAACTGCAGAGTGTTTCAGCTCTGCACTGCAGGTTATTGTCATGCTCCATCTGTTCATCCAAGCCATTTGCCATCCCAAAAAGTTGTGTCCCATGTTCCTTCTTCACTTAGCCATGTTCCCCAATAGCACATCCCAGATCACTCTGCTGATCCTTGTTCCCTGGCAAGGTACAGCACTATGCAGCTCTGGTGCCAGTTCTGAACCAACTGCCTTGACATTAAAAGCAGGACATTAGAGCATTAGTCCAGTTAAAGTGCCTTCTCAACATTGTGAGAGCAAAATGGATTATCTAGAGACAGCTTAGGTATGTGTCTCAGATTTCATTTTGCCACAGTTGCTAGGCATATGGTCCTGTTATTGATCCCATGAGAGTTAGCATCTCTCTAAGTCACAGAGGAGGTGAAGCAAAAAGTGTATTGATTCATATATTTCAAGATCAAAGGGACTATTATGATCACATAATGTTAGTTCCTGTATGTCATATAATTTCATCCAGTAATTCCTGCATCAAACACAAAATGTTTCAGCTGCTACACATCTTTCAGAATGAAAAATAGTTGTCGGGGTTTTTTTAACTCAAATGAAGAAGGAACCATCTCAACAATTTGTTTCTGAAA